CTGCTGCTGCTGCTGCTGCTGCTGCTTTTGCAGCTTCTTCAATGGCTTCCTTCTTCTTCTCTTTGCTCTCTTCTTCAACTTTCTTGTCATCCTTTTCTTCTCCTTTTTTCTCTTCTTTGGCTTTATCTTCTCCCTCTTTCTTCTCTGGGTCTACCTTCACAATCACTGCCTGCTTCCCTGTTCTCTTGTGTATGTATTCCACCAGATTTTGTGGCTCCAACGCCCCTTTCACTGTCACTTGTGAGCTCTTTAGATCTGGCTCTGCACTCTCAACACCTGAATGAAAAAAATAATATGAAGGAACCTAATGTTAATCTAATATCTAAACCCTTTATACCATCAATTACCAGTGAAATTTTAACTCAAAAGACGTCTGAATTTATGTTACTCTATAGTCTTAAGTCTTAAACACTAGCCTTCTCTACCACCCATCTGGGTTCAAACATCAATTTAAAAAGATTGGAGTTTTTGGTGGAAATTTTTTGGAATTGGGTATTGATGGGAGTGTAATATTTTAAGTAAAATCTGGCATTAAATTGAAATTAAAGAAGACTGAATTGACTTGAATTTTGACAGAGTCCAGCAGAATCTAAAGACTTCAATATTTTATTACACCAAGACAGAGTTCAAAAAAAATATTATTTTATTCCACTTAAAGAATATAAAGATTGGGAAAATAGAATCAAAAAACTCTATTATTTTAGAGATTCAAACAGAAAAGAAAATAGTTGGGTGTTTGGGACTGTAAATACAGCTAAAAAGGGTAGCAAGAGATTTTTTTTTTTTCAATGGTTAAAGTGTTCGGACAAACTCACGCGTATTACTCCCCTATCCAATTTTAAGTCGACTAGAATATTATAAATCCGTGCAACCTTCTGTTACCACTTTAGCTTCCTTGGGCTTAAGAGAAATTGTTTAAACCCAATTGAAACCAATAGATTACCGAGCATATGAAGAATCTCGTGAATAAAAAATAAAGGAAAAAAACAAATTTTTTTTTTACCTTTCATTCTTTCTATACGTTTCTTGATTACTTGCGAACAAGCCTCACAATGCATGTGGACTTTCAAAACCGCTGTAATCACCTGAGGCTGAAACACAACAAAACCATGACCTCAACAACCCCACCAACAAACAAATTCATAAGAAAACCCCCCAAAATTATTTTTTAAAAAATCCCGAATAAATACACAAGAAATTACAAAAACCTCCTCTGTTTTTTGTTCGGGTTTGGCAATTTCTTTCTCTTCAACTTTTTTGGGTTCGTCGGCCGGCGGTTTCGGGATCGGAGTGAGAAGCTCAACCTGTCGGTGACTCTTTTTCTGTACTCTCTCAAGTACCTTCAATGGATCTGCCTTTTCTCCCTTCACAACGACCTTATGCGTCTTGCAATCCGTCTCAACATCCTCAACTCCTGAAAACCAAAAATGGTTTAGATAGAGAGAGACAGAGAGAGAGAGAGAGGCCATAGACCAAAAATATTGCAGAACAGAGTTCAAACCTTCGAACCCTTTGAGGCATCGACGGACTTTTCTGGCGCAACCTTCGCAATGCATGAAGACTCTGAGAACAATCTCTTGAGGAGGAGGAGGAGGNTTAATTAAGCTTTATTTTAACAATCACTGAAATTTCTAATCAATTTCATGAAATAATAGTTACTTAAGGGCTGTTTGGTTTGAATTTTTGTTCTCTGTTTTTTAGAAAAAGAGGGATGTAAAGTACAAAAAATAGGAAACAAATTGAACTTGTTTTGGATGTTTTGGAGACAAAAGAAGGAAAAAAAAATGCAAAACTCAGAGAACAACTTAAAACTCTTTAATGATGTCTCCCATTCGAGTCCCCTTAGAAGTAAAACAAGCCATAGTGTAAAAACTTTTTTTCTTTTTCCTGTTTCTCCAAGACTCTCATCACTCTCCCTATCTTTCTTTCTCTCCACTGACTCTCAGACGAAAGTCTTCTTTGGTGATTGCGTCTTCTTCGACAACTGCATCTTCTTTGACAAAACACACACATAGACACTGGAGCTCTCCGATGATTAGTTCAAATCTGGTTCAATCGGCGAAAAAACACATTTGATNATCTTCTTTGACAAAACACACACATAGACACTGGAGCTCTCCGATGATTAGTTCAAATCTGGTTCAATCGGCGAAAAAACACATTTGATTTTTTTTTTGATCTGATCTAATTTTTTTGGTTCAGATTTGCTTATATATATAAAGATATTGTAACCACAGTAAAGAAACAGAAAATAACACCTCCATGTGCTTCACCCTTGTGTCTTTTGTGTAACCATTTTTTGAAAAAACATGAGGAATTTTTCAGCTTTTCTAATCTTCTAGCTCGTGTGAATAGCATTGTAGCACTGTAATACTGAAATATTGACACAGATATGATAATTTTTGGTTTATCAAATTCAAACCCAAGTCTTGTTAAATTCAAGTGATATATATCAATAAACCAAGGGTTTCAGATATCAGATTTTTTGGTTTAGATCTGATTTTTTATCTGCTTCAATCGCTGATCANAATTCAAGTGATATATATCAATAAACCAAGGGTTTCAGATATCAGATTTTTTGGTTTAGATCTGATTTTTTATCTGCTTCAATCGCTGATCAAACTCAGATTTGATGTTTTTTATCAAACACAGATCTAATTTTTTTGGTTCAGATCTCATATTTTTTCGTTCATTGATATTGAATCTGTCATTGATATTGATTATGTTATTAGTGTCGTTATTGATCTGACATTTTTTTATTATTTTTTGGTTGATTGATTTTATATATAAATTGATATCGAATATATTATACATTAATATTGAATCTGTTTTAAATTGAAGACCGTTTAATCTATTTAGTTTATTTTAAAATTTGATTTATTGAATTTCTTTTTATAAAACTGTCCATCTAAAAATAATTTTCACATATTTTTTTATTAAATTTTTAATTATTGTCCAACACACGCGCGCGCGCGCGCGCACACATACACACACACACACACACACACATATATATATATAAGTTGCCCAAACAGATTTTACTGTTTTCCGTTCTGTTTTTCAAATCATCTAACTAAATAAGTTTTTTGTCTCAAAAAAAAAATAAAAACTACTTTTCTAACACTGTTTTCCAAAAATTATTTTTAAGACGCAAACCAAACAAGATCTTAATTTTATCACATACATATAAAACTCAAATTAAATTACGGTCGTACCCATTGTTTGTATATCAGAATCCGAATGTCAACAAATGACAATCCTTGTACAATTAAATTATATTCGAGTCGTATTCGTTTTCAAAGTCGGATTCATTGTAATGCATGCCTAGGTAAAGACTGCCCTTTGTTGTCTGTCTGTCTAACTTCGAATCTGCCTGATTTATATCCATTCACCTACCATGTAACATCAAACAAACAGTCAGGAGCCCCCTCTAATGATAACTCCCAACTCAAAGTGTTGAATCACCTAACTCTCACATGGGGCTTTTATTTAGTACATGGAATGGGAGGGAGGGCAACAATGACCAACTTAACTAACAAACAAAATTATCAGAGAGGAAAAAAACACGTCCACGGCATCTCTTCTTCTCCCTTACTGTTTTGGAATGAAAGATCTCACTACTGGTTTTGAATATTCATACCTCCCTGTGTTTTGAACCTCATGGTCATGCGTCACACTACTGAAAGCAACTCCTCCGTAAAATCAAACGTAGTCCTTTAGGGCCATAACTTAACACTATGTGAGGCACGTGGGCTGATCTCTGTTAAGGTCTCACAGGGTTTTGTTGCTACATAATGTCGGGTCAAACATATTTCACTACCAGAACATATCCGAAAGCACCGGCGTGTGGTGTCTATAACCAATCAAAAACTGACATGCTATTTGTTTTTGAATGTATAACATTTATTGTAAGAGGTAAAAATTGAGGACACCTCATTTAAGAATAAAAAATGAACGTTTCTGATAAGAGTGAACTCTAAACTTAATCCCCCTGTCTTCGCTTCCTGTAAAACGAACAAACTGTTCAAGATCGAAGTGTTTCGATCAAAGGTACTCCGATACTTAAGTCAGTAATGGAACTGAGACAATTGCAAGAATACAAAGAGAGTTCATCGTACCTTTCACCCTAGCTCCTTGTGCTTTTATAGATCACCGTTCAATTAGGATTTTCATGATTTCCCATTCAAGGTGGCACACCTTTCTTCAATTAGGCGACTATGTTTGGAAAGTTGCTGAAATCCCTCTAGCAATTCCCTTAGCCTAGCCTATCATTAAGCCCATTAGCTTATCCATGATGCCTGAGTTATATGCAACTCTTTTGCTCTTCATTTGACTGTTTGAAACAGCTCAGTCGCAATGAGGACCGACCTCTTTCGTTTCTCACCGAGTTCATCAAACAGCTCAGCTTCAGACTATTGACTGAGTGTCTGATGTCTCCATCACGTGCCTTATTTTGTCACTCACGTGAGTTCATTTAATATTATAAAATGTGTAATAAAGGGAGTCACCCCCTTAATTTGCCCCTAGAAAATGTCTGACATACGTCTTTCGTTTGTCAGCCGTTTTATGCCTTTTCAGTCATCACTGTGCGTACTTGTGACATCTCCCCTTGTTTTGGTGGCATGTTTGGTATTTAAATAGCCTTTTGGAATTCCCTCTTTTATAGGTAGCCTCTTTCATTTTTTCTTTACTTTGTCTTTTCAAACTCCTTGAGTGCTTTTCTTCTATCTTCGTCATCTTCTACCATGACCCCTCTTACCTCTCTTGAAGTTCCTGCTTTCAAAACTAAATACAATATTTCAAATGATGTTGACGTAAGAGTTGCTGAAAAAGACGAACCTCTGATAGGCACGAGTATTCCCATTCATACTTGAGCGATCCTTGAGGGTAGAGTTCGATTCCCTCTGGACCCTCTCCTTCTCTAGGTATTTTCTGCAACTAAACTCTGCCCCATCCAATGTTGCCCTAACTTCTTCAGGATAGTGATGGGGGTAGCTGCTTTGAACAAGCTTCTAGGCTTGAGTCTTGATTTATGGGAGATTCTATACTGCTACATCATCAAATCGACTGGAGACAACAATTATCTGGCGGTGAGGAAGAATGACCGTTACTTGGTGACTCATCTCCCAAATTCTAATAAAGGTCATGAGAATGACATTGTCTTTGTTTCTGGAAATTGGGAGTATGCCGCTGGTGCTGTTTCATCCTATCGCTGCCCTTATGAAGAAGGCACTCCAAATATCTGTATTTTTTACTCTTCTAGATTAGCTTGTTTATCCACTCCTTTCTGACATAAGCTTTCTTTTTGTTTGAAGGCGAGACTGTGAAGGGCAGAATTCCTGAGTCTTTTGTGAAAATGGATGAACTTAGAAAAGTTTGGGGCTACAATAAGTCTTTGTTCTGCCGAGTTACTCATACCTTGCTCGGGTATACGCCGATCTATACATCCTTCATAGTCGTGCCGAATTGTCCCAACGCTACTCTTGCCTCAGATCGGGAGGCCATTCAAACTGCTCGGGAGCAAACTCCCCGATCTCGTAAGAGGTCTTCACTTGCAATTTTTGGACAAAGAACGGTGAAGAACTTTTTAGACTTTTTATCAACTATCAAACTGACCCAAATTGCTAAACTGTCCATGCCACTTAATCCTTCAGCTCCTTTGATCACTATTCAAGAAAAAGAATATGCAACCGACATTCCTACCGAAACTGTTCTTCCCGAGCCAGACGATGCAATTCCGCTAGTTAGCGACCCAGCAGACTTGGCTCGGGCCTTTGAAACATCAATTCATGTTGAATTAGATCCTCCTTCTATTCATTCTCTTGATCATCAAGATGATTTAATTTTTGAACTTGTTGAGGACCTTGCCCCTAAAAGGCGAAGAATTGCCAAGTCTGAGGCAAGTCTTTCCCCAAAGCCAGTTAATCATCCTTTCTGACCTGTCCTTAAGGCCAAAAGGAGAAAGGTCACTATAAATGATTATGCTATTGAAGACTTTAATGTTGTGGTGGGGGTTGCCAGAAGGGTCATTCTGCCTCGAGACCTAGGTATGAACAAAGCTTTAACTAACGACGAAGTGTCCTGCCAGGCTATTCAGCACATGGTCTTGGTAAAATTTGTTCCTTTAGGCCTTTTATTCTTTCTTTATAAATTGTCTAAGTTTTTTCCTCCTTTCAATTTTAAGGGTCAACCAAAAGTTCATGAAGTTGGGGCTAAGATAGCAAGGAAAGATTAGGTTATGAAAGATGACATCCATGCTTGAGCCTTAGCCTTGGCCAAGAAAGAGTCTATGGATGAAGAGTATGCCAAAATCTATAAAGAGGATGAGGTTCTGCAGGCTCAAAATCAAAGCCTGACCGTATTCTGAATGTAGAACTGTCCCAATCCCAGCTCGATTATACAAGTCTTCTGGAGGAGTTTGGACAATACAAGGCTGAGGCAAAGGAGAAAAAGAAGATGTTGTATATGACGAAGGAATTGAGAAGGCAGAAAATGATTTAGCTTTGCAAATCCCTCAACTTTGAGATGCATATTTCAACAAGGGCTGACATGCTGC